ATTACTGGATTATTTTCTGGTGACTGCTCATATCTGCCGTTGCTTGATATGATATTGGAAAATAATTTTAGCCCACAGTCGCCGCAACTCTTCACCGAAAGACGCGCATAGATTAGTCTGTATTTGGTCAGTACCGACCAGCTGAACGTGTCTAAGCGAAGGCTCGTCATACCGACCAGGAGGGCACTTTTAAAAACTCGCATTCGACAAAATAGTACCAGCTGTAACAGAAGGCGGGGTGTATAAACAAAATATAAGATTTACAGCTTGTATTCCCCGATGTCACAAGAATAGCCTGCCCTAGATTAAAAAAATACAATTTTATGTTTGTTTGTTTGTTTGTTTGTTTTTTCATTATTTTTATTTCTTCCTTTCCCACTATCTAGTCGGCGGGGTACTCGTTTTTGTTGCTGCTTCCTGGGGCTGAATAAGCCAGATTTGATTTGCGTAAGCAGCACAATTTCTTATCTCTGCGAGTGTTTCCATCAACATATCGTGTCATAAAACTCTGAGAAAATTTGGCTGCCCCAAGTTTGGCTTCCGTGACTTGGAATCAACTTCTTCTCGGGTTCCGCTTGCCGCAACCTCGTGCGCGACCCCTTGCTCTGTCGCTTCTCTGCAGTGCAGCGGAGCGTAGTGGGGCAGCGCCCCTCCAGAGCGGACTGGCGCGCTTGCGCGTTTCGGCGCCGCGTGACTGACAAGTGGGAAATACGACCGTGATTGTATCGCCTAATTCTGACTTCTCTTTTATTTATTTATTTTTTCGATATTTAGTGCACTGTATGCTACGTTTTTTCGAGTGCAAGGGGGGGGGGGCATCTACTTTAAACTCCACATTTGCAAAAAAAATATTTTTAAACACGACGCCTGCTCTCCTACGTATAGCGATTGTATCCCACTTGTAGCAATTGTCCTTGGTTGCGACGTAAAACATCACTTCCAGCTGCAAAAAAAAAAACGAAAAGAAATATATATATATAAATATTGCAAACAGTTTTTAGTAACTGACTAAAGTCACAGCCTGGTGTTTGTAGTTTGTCCGGCTCATGCATCAATGCCAACATGTACGCTCCCATAGAGCCTACTGCAAACGTTTTGGATGGATGGATGGATGCAGCTGAACCTTTTACAGGGGTGGAACGGCTGCGCCATTTGCTCCATTTTGCGCCAGACGCATTCGTCTGCGCCATCCTGCGCCATTTTTCGGAAACTGCGCCACAGCCAGTGCTTTGCGCCATTGTGCTCCAAATCGCACAACGTGCGCCAAAATAATTCTATTTCGTCTTGGTTTTGGTTTTTATTGACTCCATTGGCAACAATGAGCACGTTTAGGTTGGTCGGCCTTGCAATTTTTTGTTCCGTTTATTTTTCCTGTGTATTCCGATTCGGAGGCACGCGAAACAACTTGGGGGTCGGATTCCAAGCGCTACATCACCTGCGACCGGATTTTTATTCTTTAACCATCAGTGGCTAAGCAAGTCGGCCGAGGTGAGGTCGAGTCGTTAAGCGTCAGATAGCCTGAGGGCCTGCGGCCCGGGTTCCGGACATCAGCCAGTTGAAAACACATTAGCAAAAGATTCCTTTTAGTGCTTCATCGTTAGAAGTTAGAACCGCATTCCTGCACAATAAATCGTGATTTGATTGAACTGAAACGCTGTCCGATCCGAACCCTTGCCAGCCAGCAGCTTTTACGCGAGCGGTAGATCTGCTCGCCATACTTTAATCTTGCTCTGGCTCATCACTTCAAATAGGATAGCTCCGTTAATCACAGTCTGATGCTTCGATATTGATCTGTACAATGGGATAAACTCAAAATTTGTTGCCCAGTTCCTCCGCGCAACTGCACGTCGGTTGCTGACGCACGTCACTTGGTTTTCACATATAATTACTATGTCGAGCACGTGTGGGTCGTGCTATAAACAGTACTGGTTTGAATTTTGAGCAGCTGAAAGCCACTCAGAAAACATGAAGGACCCTATCTTCAGAAACATAAAGTACTTCCTTTTGGTTCTCACTAAGGCCAAGTTTTCCATCTGTTACACTATTATCCCATCTACATAGGTTCCTAACCGCTCAAGCTCATCTGTGCTGCTAAGCACAATTGAAATTGCTCCCGTGCTCGTCTGAGACACAAGCTGAAGTGCAATAAAAACTGTTTTGAGCTGCTCCTAGCCTGCTCCAGAATGTAGCTTTAGCTGCCCCCCGCCTGCTCCAAAACAGCAGTTTCAGCTACTCCTATCGCTGCTCCCAAGTACATTTTATGAGTTCCACCCCTGCTTTTAATTGGGTGGCAGCATGCACCACCAAGTCAGTGTTTTTAATATCAACAGTCAACCTCTACCTAATATGTAAAACATTGAACACTTAGCTTTACCTATGGGAAGTCAGGGAAAGAAGGGACAGAATATGTTCACACTGATTCGGGCGGATTTTTAAAATAGTTTCCCTGATAATCTGTTGTGCATAACGGTGCCGGTGCAAATGGAACACTGTTTCATGAGGATAAACCGCAGAAGTGTGGTAGTGTGTCATCGTGTTTTCAGTTAACTTTCGGAGTCGGTGCTTGTAAAATGATGTTATCATCTTTGAGAATTGAGCTAACAAACGTGCTTTTGATTAAAAAAGAACTGAAAGTTGACTCGAAAGGAGCATCTTGTTTCTTGAAGTTTGCTTGTAGTTTCCATAGAGAAGCTGGGAAACAATATAGTTTGTTTTTGGTGCACCTTATGGCTTTCATTATAAATAGTGGGGCTAATAAATAGTGCTGTATGATTGAAGGCAGTTTTAAAAACAATAAAAACATTTTTGACGTTAATTTTTGGGTTGCTAGTTCAACATTGTCACTCTGTAGAGCCTCTAAACATAGTTTTGATGTTCTTATTTCTGCCTATATATTACTTTTACCCAAACATGAAGTCAACATGTTAAGGGGGAACACTGGTCTTCGAGCTTCTTTTCTTATTTTGTGACCAAACCCATTGAAACTGCATAAGCTTGTTCAGCTTTTTGTGCTGATTTCATATATCTGGTCGTTTTCTCAGTCAGGAGAATTGTCCTCAAGGTAATTAAAACTTGCCTGCCTTTGTTTGGAGGAATGATAGGAAAAAAACTGCTTAACAAAATAACCTTTTTAACACATGGCTAGATACTAGAAAGTGTAGAGCATACAATGTTGGAAGTACTTTTAAGATAAACCCACTATTAGTGATTTTAACACACATTGAAGTTCAGCGCTCAATGCATGGCTAACAAGTAATAAAACAAAAGATCAAATAGAAAATTTTCTTGACTTTTATTAGAAAATCTGCTCTCAACATTGTATGCTTCACACATTTAGCTACACATTTCAGGAAAGGTTTTATTTCTACCTGCTCTGGATGCTGAGATATCCTTTCTGCAAATTTTTCACGAGTCTCAAAATTGTGTCTTGTGAAAACAATGTTTTATAGCATCTTCGATCAACTCGCACCGGAATCGCCCTGAAACCAGCACAGTGCACAGCGCTCCTCGGTCGTGCAGCGCGATGTCGGTGCAACATCGAGGACAAACTGCGCCGCGCCGGTGCACCGCGGCGAGCTCCACCTTGCGTCACTTCGCGTTTTGTTCGTTTATTTTGCGTAGGTCAGCGCACGGTGCCCGTCTGCTGTCAATTTCTTCTATTTATTTACTCGCGGATTTGACGGTCCCACAGAAATAAACATCGTGGACGTGATTGTCGATGGGGTCACGAAGCGGGTGACAATTCCACATGTATATATTGGCCATCATTATTAGTTCAAGAAAACGAAACAACAGATAATAGCCGTAGCTCGCTGTCATCGAAACGCCTCGCGCCGCTTTCCACGAAGTTCGTGCTTTTCGGGCGCTCCTTGCCACCGCAGCAATCGCCAGGAATCGCGGCGAGGGTGAGAAGCTCGTCGTCTCGCCGTCAGAAGACCCGAGGAAATCATCTAGTGCAGCTGCGAGGCGTGTTCGTTTTTGCAAGATCGCCATCTCGATACTCTGCGCGTCTGCTACTCCCGCCATCTTCTCGATTCCCGCTCCTGGCCGCAATGCCTGATGGGACTGCCCCCCGGCGCACCGTCGATTTCCTTGGTGCGCGTTGGGGCAACGAAAAGCCGCACCGGGAGGGTGCGCTTCGTTGATCGAGGACGTACGGTGCGCACCGGTGCACTTGATCGAAGATGAAGGGGCGCACCTCAGTGCCCCGGTGCGCACCGGTGCGGATGATCGAGGATGCTATTAGAGTCAAGTTCAGCTCACATTCAGCCTGCATAGACATTATTAGTTGATTTATAGCTCAAATATTCACCCACAAAATTAGAAGCCTGGTAAATTCAGAAGAATAACAGCCATCGCCATTTTCAAAAGAATACAGTTTCAGGACGTTTTTGGCTCCCAGGACCCACGTCCCCCCTTAAATGAACATTGAAACTTTGTGATACTGCTGCTTGTCATTGATTGTACTCAGTATACATAACATTTCATCTTGTTGCATTTAGGAAGGAGACAAAGTATGAAGGAGAAGGATTATGAAGGAAGCTTGAGATTCAAGTTATTAGAAACTTATAACAGTGTCACTTTTTCATGTCACCAGGTTTTCACCTGGAATCTTGGGGCTCCAGCAAATACTCCACTCGCCCGCCTTGCATCAAGGAGTTGAAATTAATCCTCAAAGCCATTTTAGGAGACCATAGTGTCTTCATTTGTGTTCAACGTCACTAACCATCTTCATTTGTGTTCAACGTCACTAACCAAAACAGCATCCATATTTGTTTTTTGTTTTCCTTTGGCTGCAGACTTGCCGAGATTTAGTTCAGCATCACACTTTACATCTTCGTTGTTTTTACTTATGAATGACGTGCAACAGAAGCGTCTGGATTATCTTTGTTTTTTTTCACTAGTCCATTCACCTCTGACAACTTTGTTTCGTGACTTCTAAGTTACTTCTTCACATTTGTTGTTCACGCACCCATTGGCAAAACCTAACGCTCATCCTTATGACTCGTTCCAGGACTGCCCAGCCCAGCCCGGACTTCCACTACTCCCAGAGGCTCTTCCATGGCCCCAACGGGAACGTGTTCAGTGTGCTGTCCCCGGCGCACGGCCGCAGCTGCTCTATGAAGCCCACCTTCCTCTGTCGCCAGCCACGTGGCAGCTCGTCAACGCGTGAGCCCCGAAGCCGCAGCAGCCGTCGCGGCGGCGGCAACCGCTGCCTCAAGTTCCACAACTTCATCCCATCCGAGAGCATCACCTCGGAGAAGGATGATGGCTCGCATGATGACGTCTGGAAAGTCCACGCTGAATGCAAGCTCCAAGAGGAGCACGGCACGAAGCAGATCATGGTCTCGCAATGGTCGGTTTCGTCGGACAGCCCTTCCAACACTGCTGCTCAGCCAGAGCCGAAGGCTACTACGAGTCATCTGCCGCCGCCAGCATCCTTGGACTGTCTGGAGCAAGAGGACAAGGGAGATAAGGTGCACGGGCTGAGTCCCGACAGAAACTATGGTCCGCCCGGCTTCCCTAATCCTGTGTCCTCGAGCGACGAGACCTCCAAAACGCTCAGCGGCTTTGTGCCTGCGAAAGACGAACTGTTCAGCGAACTGTCGTCGTGTGGCTGCGATGTTGTTCACGCGGATCCGTGCAGGGTCTCGCCGGCGCCACCCGCTAACCCCCCGGAGGGTCCACCGAAGGGGAAATCTGACATCCTTTATGGGTTTCTCTCCAAAAAGCACAGGCGAAAGCCCACTCAGACGAGGAGAGTTGTCCCTTACAAGAAATATCTGTCCCTCCTGGAGGATGACGCCTCCTCAGCTCATCCTCTGGACCTATCCCTCAAGACACGCAGCAGAGCTGAAAATGAAAACTCCATCGAGTCTGCATTAGCAACGAGCGGTGTGCCTTTCATGCCTTGCTGTTCCTCGAGTTACACGCATCCATACCCATTGCCCACGCAGCACTACCTCCCTTATCAGGACGTCCGTTCTGCAAGAGGCTTTGAGAAGTCTCCACTTCAGGTTGCTCTGGAAGCACCGCTCAGCAACCCTCCAGACCGTAGACTGTTCAGTGCCTTGCCGCACTCAAGCCCCGTGATGGCTGTAGGCCAGCACAACAACCACATGGGAGCTCAACTTCCTTTCGGTTACGCCCTTTACTCCACGCCATCTTCGTCGATCGACGCGAGATTGCCTAGCCCGTCACAACCCGTGTACTCCGAGGCATCCAGCAGTCGGTCGGCGCTCATGGCTGTTCTTCAGAACTGCAGGGACGACCGAAACGGCCAGGCAGGTCCCAGTGGTATCTCTACTCCGGAGCTCCACCGAAACATGCGTAAGCCGAGTCAGAGGTCGCTCATCAAGCAGAAGTTGGAAGACACCTTCAAGCAGAACGGATTCTTGGTAAAAACAAAGCAGGTCTCGGACGGAGACGCGACCTTTTGCAAGTTCCGTCAGCTTCGCAAGTATACGAGGTACTACCTCAAGAGTTGGCACCACCACTTACCGGCCGAAGTGCACAAACTGTGGAAGGGCTTCCTGCCTCCGAAGACCCTTCCAGGAGGCTCAGTGGGTGCAAGCGACGAAACTACCAGAGACAACCTTGGGAATCTACATTGATGGTTTGTACCAGGATGAGCCTTGTTCTGGGCTTAGGGATTTTGGAACTGTCTCTGATGTCTCCTATCCTGGGAATTGTTATGGTGTTGTGTTTGAACTGCTGAATAGGCTTGGGCCGTTGAATCTCGCATCACTGCCAAAACGGAGTATTGTTATTTGCTTCAGAAAAAGTTTGGAATTATGGGATGGTCTGGTCTGTAGCATCCTAGTGGTGATCTAGGGATGCAAATGATTTTAATGTGTTGACATACTGCAGAAACCTTTTGTTTAGAATCTCGATCTATGATCTTCAATCTCAACATTTTTCAAGGTGTCTAGTGACACACTTTTTAAAAATCTACAATTTTTAATGGTTTTTCACAATTTTAGTTGCAGTTCATAAGCATATAGGGTGTAAATTGAAACTTATTTTGCAGTAATGCTCTAGCAGGCTAGTACTTATTGGGACAAACTATTAAAAGATTATAATGTCTGCATTTTATACTTGACTGATGGTTGCAGATTTATGATCTAGAATACATTTGAAAATGCCACTTTACAAAGGTCATAATGAGATGGTGTTTATTTTAATGTGAATGCATCAGTGACACTCGCAGAATCATTCTGGGCTCTAACAGCGTAGAAGGTACCATCTCTCAACACTCAGAAGCTTGAAAGTTTCTTTTTAGGTTGTGCTTATACATTCTCCAGGATATTGTCTTGTCACTTCTCAACCATTGTTAGGCTGAACCTCATGACTCATTTTCTCACTGACTTTCTTTGTATTGAAGTACTCCTAGGCTTTATGACTAGCTTAGGTCTTTTTTTCTCCTTTTTTTAAGTGATAAGTTTCACTTTACAAATGTTGTTAACCCTATAGGTTTGTTGAGTTTATGTTGAGGAGAACCTATGTATCTTTGGATAGAAAGATGTCAGAGCATTTTTGACAGTATAATTTTAAAGTTTTCGCTATAGGCTTAGCACGTTGTGTTCAGTGTGTTTGCATTATTTGCAGTTGTTATTTCATCTCGCAGTGCAAGCAAATCTCATTAAAACAAAAAAAACTGTACCTCCGTACCTTTCTGAAAATGGTTCTGGTCAAGTTGGCCTGTAACAAACAAATCTTCATTGCTGTGGGAATGGCAGCGTGTACTTCATTTCATTTGATGTATCTAGTCATGTCCTATTCCTCTCCCGTGTCTCTGAATAATGCCTTGGATCTGTAGTTTATTTTTATCGCTGTTAATACATTGATATCTCTTTCACTACTGGTCCTGTTTTCAGTGCATGTTAAAGTAGGAAAGGAAAACAGACTGCAAGATTTTGCTTTGGCCATTAAAGCTTTAAAGATCAAAGAATATTGCAAAGCAGCATTTGATCTGAAGGGTGCTTGTTATGGAAGTTTATCATACGTGAGAGGTTTATGGTAAACTCTTAATCATTGATGCATCATATGGTTTGCAATATTCTCACAATGTAAATAAGTGTGAAATTGAGAAGCTTGCTTGGTGCATACCTTGTTGAACACCTCTTGGCTGTAAACATGTAAAGGCGACACATGACTGAATATTCTATTAATGTTTTTTTATAATTCTGAAATGCTCACTGTCGGCATTTTTTTTTTTTTGCTACACATGAGGCAGGAGTACAAACCAAAGATATGTAGTATCTCTTGGTAACTCAGCAAAATGTGTTTATCATCTTTGTGTCTTAAAGTTAATTTATTCAAGGTTGGTCACATTTTCTTATCATTGCAAGGACATCATGACTTTCTTTGGTCAGTACCCATAGGTTTGTGTTTATGCATTTACAAATGTAAGAAGGGCAGCTTTCATGACACTTAGTTGAACTTATACCTCAAGGGTGTTTACTGGAGAAGGTTATCTGTAGGCACTGTTAAAACTGTTATGTATGGGAAATGCGGTCAGCACATGTTGCTGTTCTCTACAATTGCCCGGTTTTGTTTTATGGGACCCTCACCTTCAGTTCTAGTCAATTATTGTGTTGCTATTAATTTAGTGATTTGTTTCTGCAGGGTTTTAGGCTATTTAAATATTTGTTTGATCATGCTACTCCTTCTGAGCCCCCTTAAAGGAAGTTTAACTAGCTGAATTAATTTTTCTGTCAATACTATGCCACCAATTGTTGCACCTCCCATTTGTATAGTCCTAAATAAACATTCAGTGCATTAAATGGCAACTTTGGCAAAGTTATCTTGATAAGTTTATTCTGCCATTGATGACATAAAATAGGTCTAGGAAGTATGTTGCTAATATGTTTTTGCTTTTCATAAAACAAGCTTTGAGAACATTCTATATCTCGAAGGGGTTTAGTATAAAACGATTGTTTTTAAATTAAAACCAATATAACCACAATTGTGAAAGGTTTGAAAAGTATTTTGTCTACAAAATTGAATTGTGCAAAAACTATTAATATAAAGTTATGCCATATCCTATCTAAACTGTATCACTGAATTTTTTTTTGTAATTTTACGTTTTGGGAGATGCTTAAACTTGCTGTGAATGCCCTTGATATGGGGTGACCTGTGTGTCTATTTGAATGTTCTTACCAGCATATGTAGATCCTGTAAATAAGAGTTTTTGTTTTGGTAACTTGCGAACGGACGGAAAGGTTATGCGCCGATTCAAGTGCCTCTAAGTCTGTGTTCATCACTGGTGTGCTTGTCAAGTGAGCATATTTTTCTATCACATTTTGTTTTTGTTTCCACATTGAGTTTCATTGAAATAAAGTTTACAAGAAACGTTAGGGGTGACGTTTGTCTCCTCGCCATTTGTACTTTGAATCTAAGTCTTAAAAAATTACTTTTCCCACTAGTTTGAAAACGAGGCGTAGGATGGACACTATATCGTTTAATCATATATCTGAGCAAAGAAGCTACAAGAGCGAGTGCAACGCTTTGAGTGGGCCTGTTATGAACATACTCGTGAAGTGAAAGTGTTGCTTATGGCAACATGCCGGCTTTCTTTAACACAAATTTTAAAAAATTCATCTTCAAACTAATTTACCGGACGTATGAGCGTAAAGAGAACCATGTTTTTCTCGCCGCAAAAACAAACTAAGCATCGCCGACCACTCAGTCTCGGCCCAAATGTAGTGCTACGCGATTGGAAGCGGATGCTGAAGTTTCAGAACTTGTCGTTATACAGTACACTGTTTACAAACAATTTCACGTTTGCCCGCACCAGGTGGGGGCACTGCACTTGCGCAGCAACAATATGCTCGTGAGGTGAAGCGTCTGCGCATGCGCCATGGCGACAGCAACGATGAACAAGATGAATGGTGTCTGCTAACGGGAACAGGCTTAGTTTTCGAATTTAAAATTTCCGAAAATCCCATAACTTTTGAATCAGGAAAGTTTTGAAACATTGCCATCTAGGCTCCGACCGCTTGTGTCACATTTGGGCGGAGGCTGAGTTTTTGGCAGTGCGTATACACCAACTCATGTTTGGATGGATGGATGATGGATGGATGAATACGGCTGAGCCCTTTGGATCGGGCGGTAGCTTACGCCACCTAGCCATTTTGTTTTACCATTTAAGCTTAGACTATTTAAATGTGAAATCTATATTCACTCCGCAGTGCAAAGAAAGTGAGGCTATGAAACCCCCTTGCCATCAGTGGATAAGAAAATACCTAGTTTTCTCTCGATTTCTGCCACCATTCACTTAATCTTTGCTTGGTAATCTCTACAGTCTTGAAATCCACTCTCCGCTGTCTCTAAAACCCAATGACTTTATTAAATCTATGTTGTCTTCGGTAGGCATAGGGTGAAGCCCTTTACAGTAGAGTATCAAGTGCTCAGCCGTCTCGTCCTCCTCTCCACAAGCAGTGCACACTGTATCAATTTCCTGGTACTTCACTCTGTATGTTCTGGTTTGCAGAACACCCGTTCTTGCCTCAAACAGCAATGAGCTTCCCCTAGAATTGTCATAAATGCTTTCTTTGGCAATAATAAACAATAGGGGCGCTCCGGTTTGTTTACAAACAAACCGGAGCGCCCCTAGCGGACGCCACCGGCGCCGCGCATGCGCGGTGGACGGTGGGCAAGAAGCCCGCCGTCGCCCATAAACAAACCATTGCATTGCGTTGTTTTCGGCGTCGGTGGGAGTCCCCGTGCTCTTTTTCTCGTTGGAATTGTTGATTTTACGTCCTCCTAACAACGTCTGAACTACTTGAGCGGCTTCAGCAAAATTAACGAGGCAAAACTTTGCGTGAATAATGTGACTTGCGGCGATTCATTTCACGTGGACGCCGCAGAATGGGCGCTAAAGACTGACTCCCACGATGAGATTCTGCTTGCTATTTTCAATCGCGACGTCGCTCGGGCTGCAAAAGCGTGGCCCCTAGCTGAGATGGTGGACGTCGATACTGAAAACCGCAAGTAAAATCGGGCATTACAAATTGGTGTTGGCCACTGGTAACAATGATCAACATCTTGTATCTACTGTTTACACAGCTTCCAACCAACCTTTAAATGTGTTTTGAGGCCTGCACTTAGTTCTTATCGCAATTACCGGGTCAACGTTTGGTTTACGGGCCGCTGTTGTTTGAAAGCGCTGAAGACAAAAAGCAGACAAGTTTGAAAGAGCGGACGACAGTTCGAACGCATGCGAAATGGAGTGCGGACTAGAAGCACCGCGTCCCGCGTCCACAAACCTTTGGAATGTCACGTTGTCGGCGTCTGTTTGAGTCTGCAACTCTTTTTCGCGTTGGAATTGTCGAACCTACGTCCCCATAGAAATGTATTACCACTTTAATCGCCTGAGCGAAACTATGAAGGCTCGTTACACCGCTAAACTTTGCGTAAATAAGTTGACGTGCGGCGATTCATTCGCGTGAACGCCACAGAATGGACGCCAAAACCACGATGAGAATCTTCTAGATATTTTCGGTTGCGACGTCGCTCGTGCTGCAAAAGTGTAGAAGGTAGCGACGATGATCGACGTCGATACTGAAATTCGGTAGCGGAAACAGACCAAGCGTAACAAGTCGGTGAGGGCCACTGGTACCAATAATCAACATCTTGTATGTACTGTTTACACCGAGCCTACTTAAGTCGTTTGAGGCCTGCAATTAGTTCTTATTGCAATCACCGGGTCAAAGTTTGGTCTACGGGCCGCTTTTGTTTGAACGAGCAGACGACAAAAAGCAGACAAGTTCGAAAGAGCAGACGAAAGTTCGAACGATCAGGCGGCCGTGTGAATTTGAAGACGCACTGAACCCGCGGGGGACCCGGACAACTTGGCGGTTTTCTCTCGTTCATGTTGGAACAAAACAAATATATATGGCGACCACAACGTGTTGCCCGCACAAGCAATCGTAGTTCGACAGCGTCTGGTTTACCCTTTTCACGGCTACTATCCACGTACTCGGACGAACGGAGCGGGCAGAAACACATGAAAACTGATCTCAAACCTTTCCAGACTCTTTTGGCACAACCCCCGTCGCAGCATTTTGACGAGAACGCAGGTTTTTTGTCCGGTTTCTCCGAAAAGAACACAAGAATGCATGTCTTGCACGGCGACTTCTGCCCACCGCCCCAGACCGGAAGTGCGTCCGACGCGCCACCACCGCGGCGTGACGTAGGAGAGTTGAGTTGGTGTATAGTTTATTCATGAGGGTGAGAGGAACGCTGTTTTCTTTTCTGCCAAACACCCTGTACTTTCTTGTCCAGCTCTTCAACTTCTTAATAGTTCTTTCAGGCAGGTGCAAAATATCTCGCAAATGCGTTTTTTGCAAGAATGAAATAAATAAATAAACGTCAACGGATTGAACCAATATGATTGAGCGAATCTGCTGTTTCACTTGTATTTTCTCACAGTAAAACAATAACAATGACTGTGTTCAGCCTTCGTTAATTTTATAAAATATGTGGTTTTCATCTAAAAAGATTGAAACTAACCACAAAAGACAAACATGCAACGGCCTTTTTTTTCTTTTTTTTTTTTAATGCAAAAGCATTAACTGTCTCATGGAGAGAGCCGACGTCATCAGTTTGAAGCGCGAAAACGGCACCTTCAATCCACTAGGAAGAGCGGAGAGAAAAAAATGCCCTCCCCCTTTCAACCCCGCGCGTCGTCTGCTCCGCCGAGTGCTGAAACTCAGTTTAAAATCACATCATTGCGAAAATTTCAAGCGCAGATTCTCTTTTATCATTTGTTAATATACAGTCGAGGAGGTAACAAGCACACTGCTGCACGGGCTTCTCCCTTTTGGTTACCTCAGGCTCTCGGCTATATGATCAATATTTAGCCAATAAACACCTTGAACCTTGCGAATTTCGATATGCAAGTTATCGTGTAATGCTATGCTCGATAAAAAGACTAAACGGGTCCGATTGCGTGGTTACCTGCGTGCAAATGAAGAAAACAAATGGAAAAACTGTGTCCGAGTGGCCGGTCTCTCTGGCGAAAAGTAAATCCGGTTGTTGTAGCTTTTTTACTGTACAAAGTTCGTACTGGTATAGGCCTTTAGCGATAATGAGTGGAAGTCTGGAATAATAAATAAAAACGTGTTCTCCTGACGCAATAGACGCTGTGGTTGAGGGAACTACTGCCGGCTGACTCCCCTGCTATTGAACTAACGGAACAAAGATACGCTAGTTGTTCATTTACTGAAATAAAACAACAGGACGCTATAGGCTGATTTTGGAGTAGCCAAAAATATTCTAAGAACGCGAACCACTTCACAACGGCAGCCATGAGCGAGAGTTTGATGTTCGGTACAGCCAGCCGGTACAGCCCAAAGATGGGGAATTGCAACCTCCCGGTTTTGTCGTCTGCTAGCGGAATTGGGGCGCGTGCCCTCTCTCTCGTTTTACCCTGCCGAACCTGCTGAACTTCCCGAATGTCTGGTGAGGGCGCTGTGGTCGAACTAAATGGCGCCGTGCAAGAAAGGCTCCTGTGCGCTGCCATTTTGAGCGATGCTGGCGCCCCGTACAGTTTCCGCCATGCTGGGGTGCGCCAGGGGCACGTCAGTGGGGTGCGCGATGACAAGATGGTGCCGTTTGCTGCATCGCCGATGGCTAACGTTAGCGGCACACTTACTGTGTCGTAACGCAGGAGGAGGTATCCACACAGAATCGTAGCATCACATATTGTAGGACGGGGCATCTTTAAGGGTTGGAGCTGACTCTATAACGATCGCAGCCTCTGTTCCTGCATGTTGTGGAAGCCAGAGCTGCCTCGAACGCAGCCATCGTTGATGCAAAGGCCATGCGACTTGTGGCGGATTCTGAAGAGCGCCTTAAGACTTTAGATTTTTTTTTTTTTAATTTTTCGATTTGTTACCGGTTTAGGCATTTTATTTAATTATCCGTGCTCTTTCGCGGTCGAAGACGACACGTGTACGTTTTATAGTTATTTTTTAAATTTCTTTCTGCGCTCAGTGGTGTGCGCTTCGGCGAGAGACGCTTGGCAACATTGTGCGAAAACCAGCGAACGTCCTGGCTGGAGAGTAGGTCCGCCTCACCTTGGCGCGCGGTTCGAGGTTAAGCCGGGATCCCACTTGCAAAGGTGTATAGAATGGGTCATAGCAGAGGGGGTAAAAAGAGAAAAAAAAAAGCCCCCCCCCCCCTCTCACCCGCATCTTGTCTGCTCCGCCGAGTGGGCTGTACCTAGCATCTGACTGGCGTACAGACTCTGTTTAAAATCGCGTCATTTTGGAAATTTCAAGCGCAGATGCGCAGACTTTGGTATGCCAGTTATCGTGTAATACTATGCTAGATAAAAAGACTAACAGGGTC